GGGTCCGAATGGGATGGAAAAGGCTGCTGGAGGTCCAGATGGGGTGGACGATGAGGTTGCTGCAGCTGGAGGACTGGAGGCGACAGCTGGAGGTCCAGATGGGATGGATAATGAGGTTGCTGGGGCCACTGCAGTGGGAGGTCTGAAGGAGACGAGGGCTGTCGCAGTGGGAGGTCTGGCTAAGATGAGGGCCCCTGCAGAAGGGACTGCCAATACTTGGACACCAGGTTCCAGTAGAACACTGGACTCTGCCAAGGACGTGACCGTCTGATGTTGTAAATGAATATTTGAAGGAGTCCATCCAGCTGGGCTAGTGCCTTCTGTTCTCGAAATGTATCTGCTGGGACCATACTGATACAGCCAGTGGCATTGAGGGATTACCTAAACCCAGAATCTGCAGAGCCCATTGTTTGGTCAGTTGTTCTGTTATGGTTTGAACATCTCTTGCTGGGAGGTGAGAGAGAAGCAAGTAAGACTCAGGTAGCAGACTCAAAGTAATAGTCAGAAATAAAGTGATTTTAATGAATGCTCAGTCACTCAAACAGAATAAACACTAATTACAGGGCACAGGAGGGTCCGGCCTGGGTCGGCTGGTTGGTGGCGAGATGAATGTGAGAAAAAAGTAGTAGCAGGGGTATGGAAGAATCGCTGCCCAGGGAGGAAGAGGACAAGCCTGCAGAGGTAGGGATGTGAGGACAGGGAGATGCTGGAGCAGAACTGTTGTGAAGTAAGTTCATAGGAGATTGAGAGTGGTGAATGACCGGCTCAGGCAGAAAGGACCTGTAGCAGGCTAACTCAGGAGTTGGAGCGTGTGCAGTCAGCTTGGAAGCAGAAGCGCTGCTGCGGAGACGCTCAGAGAGAATATGCTGCTGAGCAGACAAACACAGTCACTTAGGGAAACAGCTCGGCTATCTCTGGAGCGTGGAGAGTAGCACAACACCAGGGAGGAGAAGTCACGGCAGAGGGAAAGGTAGACTTGGTAATCAATACAGTCTTACTTGAGATGACAGACTTACTGTAGCCATGTAGGAAAGA